ATGTGTGGAAAGAAAGGAGAGTTGCCATGTAGTCATATTTGTTCTGACAGATGTTTTTAGGAAAAAAACCCATAGCATTCTGAATCAAGCTACACACATTCACACCTTTAGGGTCAATATTCAAGTAGTGGTTAGTACAATATATATTTGTACATATGAATAAATACTGTACTAAGCTATCTATTTGTTCATTTATTTACCCTTCTATCTACCTACCTATTTATATAAGCTTACCAGGTTACTATCTGAATTTTCCATAGGTGCATCTGCAATGGCATTTTCAAGCAGCAGTGGATCAATTTTATCAGCATCATCTATAGCATCCTCATCTCCATTGTCTTCATCTTTCCAATAACTAACTTTTGATGGTTCTGTAAATAAGAGCAGAGTGTAAACTTATAAAAATTATGATCTATATAATACATATCTTAGTTTCTTTAATGAAATTAACTTGTTGCTACACATGTGCCTTGGGTGTAAACATCAAATAAAGACAGAGGAAGTTCCTGCAATATTGTACACTTTCTTACACTCTGAATGTTTTTATGGCATCTCTGCCCTGTTTATGGGTATTTATAATGCAGAAAATAGAAGAACTGTATTACACGGCAATACTTTATTCTCAATTAGTGGCAGCATATAATATACTTTCATCAGCTCCACCAATCATTTTACAGGTCTCTTTACCACCTACACTCATCTCTAAGGTGATTCACCTTGCTCTCACAGGAATCTGACTGCACAGTGTAAACCAAGCAGAAGCTAGAGTGACACATCTACTTAAAATTTCATTGGTAGCAGCTATTCCAATTATTTTGCCAGTCCTTCTGTCACCTACTGAGTTTCAAAAGTGATTGAAACTGTTGTAGTGACAGACACCTTTTATAGTGAATTCTCTTGAACTTCTTCCTAAGTAATTCCTGTCTTTGTGTATAAAGGGCTGCTTTCAGCAGCTCAGGCTGGGTGGTCCAGTAAAGATGTTAATGAACTAAAAATAAAGAAAGTATAAAACATCAGGAAAAAATGATAAACTTTACAAAAGCAAACCAAAGGATATTTACTAAAATAACTTACCATATATCACATTGTCCATATCATATTCACTACTCCCATTTGATTCATCATCGTTAATCTGAAAGACAGTTCAGGCAGTTATATTAACAAAACTCTTAATAACAGTTATCAAGTGTAAACAGTCTGTGAGTTCAGAGCTAAGTAATGCATCTGTTTGTGGTAACTGCTTTTAATTTCCAGTAATATTTGACGTATGTACACTTTGTGACCCTGTCTTAGATGGTGGTTATTGCATGAATATGACCATTATATAAAATCCATTAAAGTTTACAACTTACTGTGGGATTGCTCAGGTTCTTTCCTCTTCCAAGGATATTTGGGGGACTGCCTGCTATACGCTTCACTTTAACATCATATGGAGACTCAAAGTCTTTTAACGTTGTTGGTTTCTTCCTTACCCTTCCCGAGCGTGACACTCCAATTACATCTGAAACACAATGTGATGTTATCTTTCACCAAACATCATCTGCAGAGACATTGTTTATACAATATACAATTACATATATTAACTGTGATATGGAACAGTGAACCTGCTCCCTATCGCTGAATAATATTGTCAACCTTCTCCCTTTAATTCTATCTTCCGTATTAACACAGTAAAGCTGAATCTAGGGACTAAAGATACAAGGTGTTCTTAACAGCAACAAACTACAAATATCAAAGAAGGGAAGTAATTTTTAATTATCATATCATCAGTTTACAGACCCCACATCCTTAGGTATCTTTTTAACCTATATGAACAGGAAACTCTAAAGGTATTTAATAACTAATCAAACAAGATTGACAGAACAGTTAATACAAAATAATGGTAAGTAAAATTTTTTTTTAATTTCAAACATAACAACGTGAAGAGAGGCTCTGAAGACTATACAGTGCTCTTTTGTTTTCTGGTAACTTAATTGTAAAAGATTAAATTTCATTTTTAGTGTAAAAATTGTAGCTAAAAATTACTCCTCTTGACACTACTACATACTTTTCGATAATTGGTGATCACACAGTGCCTTCTCCCATTGCTCACTCATACTATTAATTTGCTTAAAAAGTACTCTTGAGCAGAATGATGGGATGTACAGTAGCTAGAGAGTAATGCTCACCCAGAGAATAGAATTCTAACCAAATAATGACAATGTGTTCTTTTCCTGCAACTCTTCTTTAAATGCTTTGAAGCCTTGGTAACAGATCATTATAAATTTTATTGACAGCTAACCTGATGTCAACAGCTAAATTAGAGCATAAAGTTATGCTTTTCTCAGTCACCACTGATGGCATGTTAAAGTATAGTGAGTCAGGATCCTTGGGGTATGAAATGGCCTCCAGTTTTCAGATATTTTTAGCATGGCATGAAACTGGCATATACTTTACCCATATTGCCTTATAAATGCTGCCTTCCTCAGGTGATTTGAACCACTTGCTTTCTGCAGTCAAC